ACAACCCTAACTGAAAGCAACTCCTTATGGACACGTTGCCTGAGCACATTACTATTTTCAAAAGAGAACAAACGGTCAAAAACCTAAACGTCCATCACAGGAAATGTGGTTTCAGAAGTTTAATAGTACAGCTAACACTTATTTCATGTTTTCAACGAGCTAGGCATTGTGCTAAAATAGTCACGTGTGATACATCATTCCGTTCTACTCCAGTTATGAAGTAGCTAGTAGGGTTATGCCTGCTTTGCCGATGAGGAAACTGAGGCTGGGTGACGTTAGGGGAGCTACCCAGAGGTCCTGGGTTCTCATGGAGGTAGGATTAGAAGCAGGCAGTCTAACTCCAGAAACTGCATTTTTGCCACACTGTATCATCCCTCTTGATACATGTGTGTCTGTGGGCCTTTTGTGCACAGAGATGCACATCGATTTTAAATATTAGTCATCTATTTTAAGTAATTTTATATGCCATTTTCATAACATGGAAAATATTTGTTATAATATTGACTTAAAACAGAATATGAAACTGTCTATATAAGGACAACCTTTTAAAATATTTTAATTAAAATACTTTATATTTAAATATTTAATTAAAATACATACTTTATTTAGAAAAAGAAACACATTACTGTAGTAACAGTGATTATATTTGGACATTCTCCCTCTACATTTAATGTTCTGTCTTATTTACATTTTTTTTTTAAAGTTTATTCATTTATTTTGAAAGAGAAACTACAAGTCAGGGAGAGCCAGAGAGGGGAGGGGAGGGGAGGGGAGGGAGGGAAGGAGGGAGGGAGAGGGGGAGAGAGAGAGAGACAGAGAGAATCCCAAGCAGGCTCTGCACTGTCAGCACAGAGCCTGATGCGGGGCTCGAACCCACAAACTGTGAGATCAGGACCTGAGCCCAAGACGAGAGACAGACACTTAACTGACTGAGCCACGAGCCACCCAGGAGCTTCATGTCTTTTGTACCTTTTCAACCACAGGTCACCACTGGTAGATAATCAGGATGAGCTCCCTGGTGCTATATTTGCAAGCCTTCAGCTGAGCTGAACTCTGACCTTGACGTGGCCTCCATTCTACCTGTCACATGTCCCAAAGCAAAGATGCCAGAGACCCCCGGCACCCAGCTTCAGTATATGGGCACAGTCTCTCACGTCCCATCGTCTCTACCCAGGAAGTGGTTTGGACAATTCTGGGGTAAAGCCACAAACCGCGGACAATCCCACAAGCCCTGCCCAAGGCTGCCTGCAAACGCCCAGCTCAGCACGGTCACCACACGGAGCGGACCTGACCCAGAACCAAGACCACAAGCTGGTAAGTCAGGACCAGCCACACGCTGATCCAGTCCACACAGTGCTTCGGGCTTCATGGCGTTGTGTTTGTGTCTGGTTTTGTTCTTAATTAGTTTGTCTGACAATTTCCAATCCAGGCCATGCGGCAACTGGGACCTGGGATGGGGTCATAGCTGACCCCTCAGACAGGATGTGAGCCACCCTTGCCACAGTCCCCACCACTCCCTGCTGCCTTCCCTGGCACCAAAGCGGACTCGTGCTTGAGCTGCTGCTTTTGCAACGGCACAGTGATAGCGAAAGTGAAACGTGTTCTGTGTCCACGTTTCAGTCAAAAGAGGAAAAATGAGATGTGGGTTAGGAGGGCTGTGGGTGTCAAGTAAAACGGAAGTGGGTACATTTTCCAGGTACCTCTGCTCACTTATGGTACCTCCCAGGTCTCAGTGAGTCTTTGAGCCTTCCATCTCTGGCCTAGAGGGTTTCTGAGGGACGAGGAAAAGAAAGCCGCGTCCTTCCGCTTTCCTGGAGAGGCTCCTAGCGCAAAGTATGGCCTGGTGGCCCAATGCCAGCCTCTCCTGCTCCATACCCCGCAGCATGATAGCTACCAAAGACCTCCCCCCAGCCCCCACCCCCTCTCTCCCGCCCCAGGCAGCTGGACTGGGGGTGAACAACAGACCAGGCAGACACAGAATTCACACCCATCCCTTGGATTCCAGGAGCGGGGCCTATTACTTTAAACCATGTCCTTTTGGAGACATGCTCCCAGCCCACTTTCTCCCTCAAGACCGATGCTAGATTTGTGGTAACTTTGTGCCAAGGCCCGAGGAGTGTTATCAAAGCTGCTTCTACATCCGGGCAGACAAAGAAACAGCACCAGTGGGCCCTGAGTCACTCCACTTCCCCCCGGGGGAGGAACCTAAGGACATGCCTCGGGCTCCCCTTTGTAAAGGTCTAGGAACGGGGTTGCTAGGAAGATGAGACTCACACTGAGCTCTTCACATGGTGCCTGGCACAGGATACAGGTTCAGTAAATACTAGCTACTCAGCCCCCACTGCTGTGATCTGGCTGAGCCCAGACTAGAGGCTTGGGGAGCACAGCCCAGGCGGATGCTACAGTCCTCGTTTCTACCCTCCCTGCACTTGCTCAGGTAAACCGCCTTTGTCCTCATACCTGCCAGCTAAGCCCCGGGGGGCCCAGGTGCTAAGACTTAGAACTGCAGAGCTGAGAAATGTTTGCCTGCAGGAAATTCCCCTGTCCTCTTATTAAGAGCCTCCCCTGAGTCCACAAAAGGCCAGTTTCGTGGCACATTGAAAAGGACAGAATAAACACATGTTCATTTTCTGTTGCTGCCTCGAGGGATTGGCTAAAGAGAGGGCTATAGCCTGGGAGGGCTATAGCCTGGGAGGGCTATACGTCAGGCTCTCTTGGTTGCTGGTGAGCAAGCACAGGTGACCCTCAGTGCTGTGCTGGCCCAGATCAAGTGCGTACCTAGTATGCTGGGTAAATGAACAGGGCTAACAGCTATACAGACCTTACAGTGTCGAGCTGGGGTGTGAGTTGAAAGGCACACACACAGTCAGGCATCCAGTGAGCTGTGCAGCTGCCCAGCTCCCTAAAACTGGCTGGTTGCACCCAGCTTTGGGACCCTTCTTGGGTCTGGCCCTTCCTGGACTGTCTCCCATCCTTCCTCCAAGCGCCAGAGGCTTTTAGCCTGGCCTCAAGATCCCCTGTGGTTCAGGCCTTGGCCTGCCAGGTTATAGCCACCATTCTAGCACCCTCTGTGGGGAAGGTTGAGGGTGGGAGAGGGCAGGACAGAGGATGGAATCACTTAATTTGCCTCCAAATGTCCCAGGCTTTCCTAAGGAAGGCATTTCTTGAGAAACACCTCCCCTGGTGTCCGGGCTGGCTGTGCCTCGCCTCCAGCAGTAGGCACACGCACGCCTAGCCCTTTTTTCTCCCTTTCCGGGGTCAAAGTGCCCAGGTTGTGAAGGACGCAGGTCTGCCCCCAGGAGCAGAAGACTCATCAATGGTAAATCTTCCAACATCCAGACCCAAAGAGTTTTAAGACTTAAGGAGAGAGTTCCTCTCTGCCTGAGATGGACATAAAGCTTTCCTGAAATGGGACAGAGAAAACACCAGGCTGGGGGCCAGGACTCCCTGTTGTCAGTCTGTTCATGATGTTCATTCCTCTACATCTTTGCTTTTGCCTCTGGGACAGGACCAGATCAGCAAGCTTCAGACATTTCTGTGAGGTGCAACCCTTCGACTCAACTAAGTTGTACCAAGACATGACTCAGTATGTCAAACAGGTGGAGGTGGGATTCCCTTGCCCCGCAGGTCTCTTAGAGGTCCCAACAGGGGTGTGCTGTAACCCTCCAGATGAGCCAACCTGTTTCTTGCCCTATGTCACCCACATGATGACAGTGACCGTGGGCCTGGGGGGTACTGAGCATCCTTGAGGCATGACTCAACTGGCTAGGGCCACTGGTCCCAGGCCCTCCACATGCCCCAGTGGGGATACCAGCATCGTGCTCAGAGAATGTACAGCCTTGTCCCGAATACATCCTGGGCTGGACAAGATGTGCGGGCTGAATCAAGGCAGAAGAGCTGCTGGGCTGGCTGGAATGCTCCCCAGTATATTACAGGGCTTTGACTGTGGAACCCAGCTGAGCCCCAGCCTCTGAGGGCAGAGACATCACATACAGGTCATTCAAAAGGCTGCCAGGGAGAGGAGTCTTATCCATGAGAGCTGTCAGCCCAGACCAGACATCTGAGTTGTCAGGAAGCACCACAGATCCAGCCCTTCCATTATACAGAAAGGAGACAGTGGCCCAGGCAGGGGCGTATCTTAACCTGACGAGACAGAGTGCAGTCAGAGTCAAGAACCGTACGTGGAGGGATTGAAACCTAAGGCCCCCAGCTTGTCCTTCCGTGCAAGCTGGCACTTTTTACTCTGCACACCAAGTGCCTTCCCGTTCTTTCCATCCTCCTTTATCAAAACCACTCCCAGGAAAAGACACAGAAACTCCTTTCTCAGCAGAGAGGAAGTAACAGACTCGGCATGTGGTACAGGGTTGCTGTGTAGCACACCAAGAAATGAAGCTCTAACTACAAAGTCAAGGAGGGGGAGAGGAGTGACCCCTCACCCCCTACAGCTGGTGGTCTAGGTATGAGACGTCCTGGCTGCACACCCTGGTGTTGTGGACAAGTGTGTGGGTTTGAGATCCGTCTGTGAGTTCCTCAGGTCCCCATGCCTGATTTAATGCTCTGGGATGCTCTTTGAAAATTCTTAATAATTTTTCGATAAAGAATCCCACATTTTCCTCCCACACTGGACACTGCAAATTATGTAGCTGCTCCTCACCCACCGGTCATTAGCTGTGTGGCCTTGTATAAGTGTCTCAACCTCTGAGAGACTTGGTTTTCTCCTCTGCAAAATGGACGCAGTAATAGCACCTGCCTTACACAATTGTTATGAAGACCAATTAAGTGAACATACACAGGGCTCTAGGTAGGCGCCTGGCACAGAACAATTGATTAATCATCTAATTAATGATAGATACTACAGATAAGAAGAATAATTATAGACTATCACGTGACAATGCAGATGCTCTGCTCAATAAAAAGGATATTAACAACTGCAGCCCAGACCGGCGAACCAGCCAAGGGTCGCAGGTACCCAGGCATCAGGACCCCTCCCCTACTCTTACCTTCCTGAAATGGCTGTGTTTGCATCTGCAGCCGGATCTTGATGAGGTCTACGGGCGTGCCCAGCCCCACAGAGACCACGCCAGCCACCATGCTGGCCAGGAGAAGGTCAGACAGGGTGCCGGACGGGCTGGCCCCGGGCTCCCTGCAGTGGTGCTGGCTGAGGAACCTCTGCGTGTTACTGAAGACCCCAAACACCGCAGAGTTGTAGACCGCGATGGTGGCAAGGGGAAAGGACATGCCCTTGAAGAAGCCGAAGACCTGTGGGAAAACGAGGGCGGTGGAGCATGAGGGCCCAGGGACGTCTGCAGGCCAAGGCGCCGAGCTCCCCACGCTGCCCTCCACACAGTCCCTGCCCGCCTGGGAGCCCGCAGGCTGGTGAGGTGACACTACAGGAAAAATAAATCATTATGACAGTGACAAGAATACAAGAGGATGCTGAGTGATAGGAGAGCCATGGCAGGTGAGGGGGTGCTCTCCAGGGCATTCTTGCCCTGGGCGGAGAAATCAGCGCGTGTATGCAGTTTTGTTTCCGGAGTCTAGGTGTCCTGGGCCTGGAATCCGTATTTGCCACCAGGGTGGCCGTGTTCTTGGGCTGGACGGATATCAGGCTGCGAGGAGCCCTAGAGGGTAGCACAGACTTGCCAAGCACCATCCTCTGAAACATCTGCCAGGTGACAGGGGGACATGCGGACACCATAAGAAATCCTCGCCGCCCTCACTGAGCCTACGCTCTGGGTGCAGGAAAGGGGAGGGGGACAGGGCCAGACAAACTGACAGGTGACTAAAATTCAATGGGCCAAGTCTATGGGGAGGGTCTAAGGGGAGCAGAGTCCTCAGAAGGCTTCTGCACATACGCGGAAACCACAGGAGAGGGGGCTGCAGGCTGAGGAGAGGGTCCTTTCCACACTGCACTCTTTTAAAAAAAAATTTTTTTTTAATGTTTATTTATTTTTGAGAGAGGGAGAGAGTGACGGAGGGAGAGAGGGAGGGAGAGACAGAGAACGAGCTGGGGAGGGGCAGAGAGAGAGGGAGACACAGAACTTGAGCTGTCAGCCCAGAGCCCAGTGCAGGGCTTGAACCCACAAACTGTGAGGTCATGACCTGAGCCTAAGTCGGACGCCTAACCGACTGAGCCACCCAGGCTCCCCTCCACCCTGCACTCTTGAGGAACATCACAGACACTCCTCTGAAACCTGGAAAATTCCAGAGACCCTTGGAGGAGTTAGGCCAGCACATACTTTTAGCTCTGTGCCAAAAGCGAAAAAGCACCAGGAAGCTGTTGTACAAACTCCAGGGCCGACACAAACCTGCTAATCCTGACCTAGGTGTTTGTGCCCTATCTGTCAGAGGCAGAACGCCTCCCACGCACACGTTCACACACAGCCTGCCTCAGGTCCTCCCTCCAAAACAAGCTCCTCCAGATAACGTGGGACATCACTTAGCCCCAAAGGGCTGTGTCTCCAAGGAACGCCCACAGTTCCCACAAAACCCCCGGCGCTGGGACATTGGCTGGCAGGCAATGGGGACCATGTGTGCCAAAAAGGAGAATTGATGGCCACCTTTCAGGGGAGTGACGAATTGCACATCGCCGGGAACAGCTAGAGTGAGGTTTGTAGTCCGTTGTCAAGCAGCCTATCAAGAGAGTTAGAACACCCAAACAAAAAACACACCTCTGAGGAAAATCTCCGAGTGCGGATGGGAGGCTCCCGAGCCCCAGGGCACCTCCTATGATGGAGGTCGTGGAAAAGGTGGTGGTCAGCAATGGGGCCAGGTTTCCAGGGACTCAAGGGAAAGCCCAGGGCTGCCACGGGGCTTGTAACTGACCGCTTCTTTAAATTGTCATTTCAGGGGCGCCTGGGTGGCTCAGTCGGTTAAGCGTCCGACTTCGGCTCAGGTCACTATCTCACAGTTCGTGAGTTCGAGCCCCGTGTCGGGCTCTGTGCTGAAAGCTCAGAGCCTGGCGCCTGTTTCAGATTCTGTGTCTCCCTCTCTCTGACCCTCCCCCGTTCATGCTCTGTCTCTCTCTGTCTCAAAAATAAATAAACGTTAAAATAAATAAATAGTCATTTCATCACAAATCAGAAAATGTATTTTAAACTCCCCAAAGAGGGGCCTGAGAAAGTCTTCGGAAAGCACACGCTAATTCTCAAGAATTATAAAATATTATTCAAAACTGGGGCACCTGGGTGGCTCAGTCAGTTAGGTGTGCGACTTTGGATTTCAGCTCACGTCATGATCTCAGGGTTTGTGAGTTCGAGCCCTGAGTCAGGCTCTGCGCTGACAGGGTGGGAGCTGCTTGGGATTCTCTCTCTCTCTCTCTCTGTCTCTCTCTGGCCCTCCCCCGCTCATATGCATGCGTGTCCTCTCTCTCAAAAATAAACAAACT